ATTTTAAAAATTTTTTTTTTTTTTTTTTTTTTTTTAGAAAAGAGAGAGCAATAGGTCACAGCATGGACAACTTAGTTCTTGAGAAAAAGTCACATGGCAGATAAATAACAGTATACAGTTCACTTGGCCATCTGAGGCCCTTTTATTTTTTTTCACATAGAATGAACAGGATCTGGAGCTTTTTAGCTTTAAGAAACATTAAATTATTATGAACTATTCTTCAAAAGCTGCAGAAAATCATACAGGATGGATGGAGTGTCATGGGAGTGCCTGCATATCATCATGCAAAACAAGTGGCTGTCATGTCCCCACTAGATGGCCTTGTCCTACTACAAACCACAGCTGTTCACTGTTCACTCAGCTGTGGACATGGGCCAACCTCCCAAAATCACTACTAATCCTCTTAGTGACAACAAAACTCTTACTCGCCCAATCCGCTGCGTCTCTCCAGTGTGCCCACCCTTTTCTCCTCTCTCCATCTCCCCTCCCCACGTTTATGAACCCACTGTGTGGAGAGATTGTAATCCAAGTGGATTACACTGTAAATTGGGTGATGGAGGATTGGATGCTCTGGAAGTGAATCTCAACTGCAGCAGTGTGCTTGGCATTTGCTTGATTTATATATTATAACTGGGATTATTTCATGCCAAGAACCATGGAACTTTGGAGAACATCTTTCAGGTGTGATGTTTTGTGGATTATGTGATGAGAGCATACATTATTTGATATCATGTTCACCTGAGTTTAACACGAAGAAAGAAGGACCTAATGATAACATTAAGTGGATTACTTGGATTATCGGTATCATCCTGAATATGAGAAGCGTTGATTACTCCACGCAGCTCAATGAGAATTTGAGAAGTTTCTGGAAGATCTGAGCATGATTAGGAGTTCGCTGACTTGGATCATCAGGCCCTCCAAGAACTTTTGGATGTGCAAGTTCAGTTGATGAGTAGTTCGGAAGGGTTGTAAGAGATGTTTGAAACCATTTAGGCCAGCATGAATGGAAGTAAGTGGAATGGACGTTGTATTTTAGTCGTCCTACTGGAGTAGTGGATTCTCAGGACCTTCTTCTCATGACAGATGTGGCTCTTAAGGATAGATGTCAGCATCATGTATAACATCAGAGGGTCTTCTTGGGTCACATTCTTCATGGTCTACACAGGCTGGCTGTGTATCTTTACACATGCTCAAATGAAGATTCCACCAGAAACGTAAGATTCACTTTCAGTTGTTTAGCACCTTCATTTTTTAAGGTATACTGATTAGATTTTCTCTGTTGATGATGTTTTGTTTCCTACTGTTGTTTTATTCAGCCAATGGTTTTGGTAGATGCTTGTAAGACCAGACAGACTATTTCAGGGTCTAATTTGTACTGTTGCGACTTCAGTTCTGTGCACATTAGAAATTCAAATGAGACAGGAAGAGAAATTGCTCTGAGAGTTGTGTGATCATTTTTAGTAATTCCCTGATTCCCTGAGTTTGTTGAGGTGTAAAATTCAGTTCTCACGAGGCTTGGAAGTCATTCAGTGCAATAGCAGATGGCAGACACTTCTCGACATACGTAAGCAGCAGTGAAAATATTTTAAGGTAGAAACGGAAAGATAATTTGGTGATATATCCATAATTCTCTTATAAATGACTAATACAGAAAAAATACAAATATTATTTATATAATTATTATATAACTAACTATAAATATATACAAAAATAATTTAAAAAATCGGTAATAAAATATTTGAAAAAAATTCTAATGCATTTTTTAAAGGGATAATTCACCCAAAAATGACAGTTCTGTCATCATTAACTCACCTTAATGTTGTTTCAAACCTGGCTTTCCATCTTCTGTGGAACACAAAAGAAGATATTTTAAAGCATGTTGGTAACCAAACCATTGTGGTGACCACTGACTTCCATTGAATGGACAAAAAACTAATTTCCCAAAATATCTTTTATGTTCCACAGAAGATGAAAGTCATGCATGTTTGGAACAACATGAATAAATGATAACAGAATGTTAATTTTTTTGGGGTATTCCTTTAATGTTGTCACAATTCTGACTGGCCCTACAAAAACAAACCAACAGAAACCATGTCAGATTTGTTTCATGAACCTCTTTGGTTATTTTTTCCAGACATTGTGTAAAGATTTCTCTGGAGGCGAGCGTAGTGAGAACCCAAGTGCAGCTTTATTTAATCCAAAAAGTGGCCAAACAATAAACAAAGACTTAACTTGACTTAACTTGGCTTGGCATGACAAGAATACAGACATGAAATAAACTCACCAACCAGCGGTTAAAGAGGACAATACTCGACAAGAGACAATGGCAACACGAGGGCTATAAATACCAAACAATAAGGGTCGCATGACAAACCAACCAATGACCAAACAAAACTGAGAACCACATGACAAGACAATAACCAGTCAGAACATGACACACAGACAAGAGTAGCACATGATATGATCACATGAGGGGCAAGGAGCACATGACAGGGACATGAAACAAGACAAAATATCAAAAATAAAAGACCCCTCTAAGGGCGGCTCCAGAAGCCCTAATGTAACACCCAATCCAAACAAAACCCAAAAAGTCCAGGAGGGTGGTGGAGCGGAGGTGGAACTGGGAGAGGGACGGAGGGCCAGGCCCATGCAGGGGAACAGGACCTGGATCGTGGCATGGCAGAGGACTAGGACTGTGGAGCAATGGTGGACCTGGACCATGGGGCAATGGCAGACCTGGGCAGTGGAGCCATGGTGGACCTGGGCCGTGAAGCAGAGGCAGGTCTCGACTGTGGAGCAGTGGTGGGCCTGAACCATGGAGCAATGGTGGGTCTTGGCCGTGAAGCAGTGGCAGACTGTGGAACAGTGGAGGACCTGAGCCATGAAGCCGGGAAGGCAGGGAGCCAGGGTGAAGCTGGCAGAGCAGGAAGCCACCACAGCAGAGCAGACTCGTGGACAAGAGAGGCCTCTGGGGTAGACTCGTGGACAGGAGAGGCCTCTGGGGCAGACTCGTGGACAAGAGAGGTCTCTGGGGTAGACTCGTGGACAGGAGAGGCCTCTGGGGAAGACTCGTGGACAGGAGAGGCCTCTGGGGCAGACTCGTGGATAGGAGAGGCCTCTGGGGCAGACTCGTGGATAGGAGAGGCCTCTCTCTCACACACTCAGGATGGTTAGCGCCATAACAGGAAGCACTGAGGATAGGGAAACTCTGTGATAGCCAGTGCTGAGGCCCTGGGGATGCCAGCTGCTCGCACTGACACCAGTGGTGTGTCCATCACACTGGCAATCAGTCATTTCAGTCCTGGCCCAAGCTCCACATACGCAGGAGCTTGGGTAATATAGTGTGACAAGGCTCAGGCGTGGCAGCCATCTTGGCCAGGGACTCAGGCATGGCGGCCATCTTGCAAAGAGGCTCTTGTGTGGCAGCCATCTTGTGAAGAGGCTCTTGAGTGGCAGCCATGACGTGAAGAGGCTCTGGCTTGCCGGCCATCTTGTGAAGAGGCTCTGGCTTGGCGGCCATGACGTGAGCAGGCCCTGGTGTAGCAGACATGACGTGAGCAGGCTTTGGCTTGGCAGGCATGATGTGAGCAGGCCCTGGAGTAGCAGACATGATGTTAGCAGACCCTGGAGTAGCAGACATGACGTGAGCAGGCTTTGGCTTGGCAGGCATGATGTGAGCAGGCCCTGGAGTAGCAGACATGATGTTAGCAGACCCTGGATAGCAGACATGACGTTAGCAGGCCCTGGAGTAGCAGACATGACGTTAGCAGGCCCTGGAGTAGCAGACATGACGTTAGCAGGCCCTGGAGTAGCAGACATGACGTTAGCAGGCCCTGGAGTAGCAGACATGAC